GTCACGAGGTGAAGGAATGTGTTGGTGTAGCTGAAGGTGAAACTGGGGAATCAGAAAAAGTATTCGAGGAAACACGATTTATATTTGTTCGCCTCAATGTTTTACGCGAATACCTGGAAAGAGAGCTAGCAATGCCAGGCTTGCCATTTAAATATTGTTTTGAACGAGCCATTGATGATTGGGTATTCATGTGCTTCTTCGTTGGTTAGTAAATATAGTGTGTTTCTCCTTCACCATTTAGTTTTTATTTTAATTTTAACTCCAGGTATACCATCAATTTTCCAGTACCCTTGATTCCACAGTCTTGTCGGATTACCCATTTTGTCAGACTAATGGAGGTCATGTAATGATAATTCAAGAATACTCTTCTGACTCACTAATTATACATCTTTTTGTGAAGCACCATGGTTTATGAATTACTGTACAGTACTTGTAAAGAATGTTGCAGTACTACTACCCCTTCAAAAGTGGCAAATTGTAGAATTTTACTGGAACTGTAGAACTAATCTTCTTAAACATTTTATCCAAGTAAAATTGTTTCATGTGCTTTGATCTTTCCATGTGGAAGTTTTCATACATCAGATAAAGATTCTGTGACTTGTTTTGTTATGAAGTTACATTGTTCTAGCTCCTTGATTAATTTACCTGATAACTTGATTAATCTGGCAATATCAAGTTTTTCAACTTCACCACTGACACTTGCATCTTTCTTAGAAACCATAGCTAGGGTTAAATGTATTGAAAATAAGCTAAGAATCTCATAGAATCAAGAACTCATCACCAACAACTGCAGAGTAAACAATGTAAGTGAGTGACCTCTACACACAATATCTGTGGCTACCCAGTAAACTAGTTTTGCAGTCACCGGAATTTCAAGTGCCCTCACAATTTTGTCTGGATTAAAGAAGTACAGGGCTGTCAATTCCTGGAGAATAGGTGGTGTACCTGTGTTAATAGATTTAGTGTGTAATTACCTATTTATAATTACAAGAGCTTAAGTATACTGCTGTTCAGTCTTGTGTTAATTTTGATATACAGTGATACCTCTCATATCAAAACTATATGGGCCAAGACCGGTTCGGTAACACGGAGTTTCCGGATACGTGAAGGGGAAAAAATGTGCATCTGTACCATCATATCACCATCGGCGACGGCGTTGTAGGTTTAAAAAATGAGTCCAACATTGTGTGGCGGTGGGACCAGACACTGGGCTCGAATAACAGCCTCCCAGATTTCTGCAACCATTTAAAGTTTGGCACCACGAACCATCATTCCACTACCACGTTGTTGTAGGTACCACTTCATCACTCACTGATCGAGTTCTAAGCTCAGTGGCTTTGCCATCACTTTTTTTTCAGCACTTTTTCCAGTTTTTGAGGCGGCAGAAAATATCCGAATGGCTGTTCGGATGTTTTGGTAATAATTTTAGAATTTTGCTTTTTCTCAGGGGCTGTTTGGATATTGGTGAGGTTCAGATAATGACAGGCCCGATATGCGAGGTATTGCTGTATATTTTTTAAGTTTTCAATGTTCATAGCACACATTACCTGTTGAGTCTCATTCTGGCAGTCTACCCTGCTACTTTTGAAGAAATATTTGAAGTTTTTTAGACATTAGTATTTTATATATCAGGATCATATTTCCCCTTGGTCTTCACTTCTCCAGTGACATAAATCCTAATTTTTTGTATTCTGTCTTCATTTATCCTCAGTTCAGGCACCAATTATGATATTCTCTCAAGCTTTACTTTGTGTTACTAGGTGAGGGGTCTCACACCAGCACTATGTACCGGAGAATAGGTTATTTGGATTACATGTAAAGGGTTTTGAAGGAGTCTTTCTTTAGGTTTCAGTGTGTCACATGTATTTGCAAGCTTAGCCTATTCTAATGTTTTGATTATGTGCATCTCAGGAGACGAGTTTGGGGTAATGGTTATTCCAGGGTCTTTTTCTTTAAAAAGACTGTTTGTGTTCCTCTCCGAATGGCACTCTGTTTTCAGTTTTCTTTCATCTCCCATTTTTCATATTGAGGAGTGTGCCTACATGTTGGTGAAGGGCTCTTGATCCAAGGAATTTGATCTACCCTCCTCATCCTTTGATTAAACCTGATAACCTCTCATTTCCCATGGGCTCTAGGATCTCTCTGGGTTTAATGCTTCCCCATAAATATCTAGTAATTATAATCATCCCCCAGCTTCATAGCTTTGCCTTGCACTTGTTAAAATCTAGCAGCCATCTACACAAACCATACCATGGACGAGGATAGAACCCGCGATCAGAGAATCTCAAAACTCCAGACAGTCGCTTTAGCCAGTGGCTGACGCGACAGTCTGGAGTTTTGAGACTGATTGCGAGTTCTATCCCCGCCTGTGGTATGGTTTCTTTGCAATCGTGTCATTACGATTTCGTGAGTCATAGCAACCATCTGTCTGACCATTCCAGTCTCCAGGTCTTCTCACAACCTTCTTTCATCCTCTTAAGTTTGTTTTCTCATTATTTTGGCATCATCCACAAATAGTTATTTGTCATTTATTTACTCCAGAAAGTAAGAGACCTATCACTGATCTTTGTTATCAATATCTTGGAGTCTTTGTAACAAACTTCAAGTATGTTTAATGCATTCAATACTGCATCTTTTTATCTAGTCTGTACAGGTTAGGAGTATCAGGGCTTAAGGGCCTCTTGTAAAGTATTAATACTATTGTTTGGTTAATGATTTGTCATTGTGATTGAATGCTGTTATTGATATTTTTGTCAAGGTTTGCTGTGCAATAGTAGGGAATTGCAATTTTGATTCTGGGCATTGATTTCTGTAGATGTTCCATAGAAGGTTATATTCAGGATAACTCATATTACACATTTAATTGTGGAGCGTGAAGGTGGTGCTTTGTTTATCAGGCAAAAGGATGGCACTTTCTGACACGGGTTTTAATCTGATAATGCATGTTAACTAGTTAAGTTTGAGATGGTCTGGTAGAGATAGATTTTTACCCCAATTAAAAAAAAATCACTATAGTGTATCCTAAGATGATACGTTTATGGGGGTATCCTAATAAAAGTATAATTTTGTGCTTTTAACCCTTAATGGTCCAAACGTATATAAACGTTTTTTCAATATCTGAAAGAATGTAAAAAAATGTAATCTTCTTTTTTGTTTTACATTTGAAAACGTGTAAAAAAAACTTTTATCTACATTTTTTTTTTTGTTATATTTGAAAATATGTAGATCTACTTTTGTAGCACTACGAATTTGAACGTCGATCTCTTTAGACCGTTTAAGGGTTAACCCATAAACGGTCCAAACGTATATATACGTTTTTTCAACATTTGTAAGTATGTTAAAAAAAGTAGATCTTTTTGTTTTTTTACATTTGAAAATGTGTAAAAAAACTTTGATGTACTTTTTTTTTTTTTGTTATATTTGAAAATATGTAAAAAAAACGTAGATCTACTTTTGTAGCACTACACATGTGAACGTAGATCTGCTTGGACCGTTTACGGGTTAAACTGTGAATTACATTAGTATAAAGATAGTCTTTTAATTTAATTATAATAAGTTTATGAGCATGGTTAACGGTCTTGCTTATAATGTACTTACAAGACGTAGTAATGGTACCAGTTAAAATACAGATAGTTGTTAGTGATGTGGTGGATAAGCACAAGTTTGTTGATTTTGAAAAATTTTGTCGCTTATGTCACATTTTGTAGAGCAAAAGCTCTATTTTGTTAGTGTCCTTTAGTTTCAGTATCATTGAAGAACCCTTCAAAATTTTGTTTCTTAGGGTTTTATATTTTAACATACCAATCATCTCCTATTGAGGTAGAGCAACAGCGGGTGGCTCGTTTGCTTTGATTAAATCATTGTTACACATGACCAGGATCCCTCTTGCTTTTTTACCTTTGTACTGTAGGTTCTTGTAGGTTTTGACTCAGTATTAGTGATGTATAAATTTGTATTGTGATCTTTGCTTTCTTTATAATGTCTGTTTTTGATAGGTTATAGTGAATTATTATAAAACTTGGATTGTATTTTATTAAATTTTTGCTGTGTGGCAAAACCAAGCCAAATTACTAACAATTTGTATTAATGTTTTATATGAATGCCTTCACCATTGCCCATATCTAAAGAAAATCGCAAAAGTTAGTGGATGAGTTTGGGAGAGTGTGTAAAGAGAAAGTTGAAAGTTGAACAAAGAAAAGGAGTAAGGCGATTGAGGTATCAAATTATTTAGAATAAAGGAAAAATTTGATATCAAATTGGGGAGGAGTATGGAAGAAGTGGATGTTTTTCAGATACATGGTAGTTGAAGGTGTCGGTAGGATGGGATTTTAGAAAGGATGAGGTTAATCATAGAATTGATGAGAGGAAAAAAAGCAAGTGGTGTCATTTGAGGGTATATTGGAGACAAAAAATGTTATCTATAGAGGAAAGAAGGAATGTACGAAATATAGTAGGTACCAAACACCTTATATGGGTGTGAAGCTTGGTTTTGTGATGGCCTTGCGCGAGCATAGAGCCGTTGAAGGTGCACGGTGTAGGTATGTCCCTGTCTAAGGGCAAGTGTGGTGTGATATCAGAAAAATTCGGATGAGTGAAATTATGAAAGGTGTGGAGTTCAATAAAAGCAATATTCAGAGGGGCAGAAGGAGGGGGTTGTTGAGGAGTGGATTGGTCCATTTAGAGAGAAAGGGATCCAAGAAGAATGATCATGGAAAGCATATAAATCTAAAAGGGGAATGGAAAGAGTGGGTAGTTGGTCTCCTCGAAAGTGTTGGAAAGAGGGGGGTAAAGGAGGTTTTGTGGCGAAGGCTTGGAGATTTACCAGCAAGCGTGCATGAGCGAGTTAGATATGGAGTGAATGGAGACGAATGATACTTGGGAGCCTGACGATCTGTTGGAGTGTGGAGCAGCGTAATATTTAGCGAAGGGATTCAGGGAAACCCGGGTGCATGGTGTGACCCAACAAAGAAAGACAAAATCCCCAAAAAGAAATGCTTTTCATCATCATTCAACACTTTCACCAACTCACACATAATCACAGTTTTATGCAGAGAGGTGCTCAAAGTACAACAGTTTAGAGCATCATACGGATGAGATATAAAGACTACACAACAAATCCCTCCAAACTGCCAATATTGGATGCCCAAACCCCTCCTTAAAGTGCGTAGGCATTGACTTCCCATTTCCAGGACTCCTGAGTCCGA